CCAATATATAAAGGAGGTAAGCGCTCGGATCCTGCTAACTACCGACCTATTACTCTCCTTCCTGTTTTATCGAATGTTATGGAATCGGTAATGGCAGATGAACTGACGAGATACTTTGAAAGTCAACAGATAATTTCTGATGCCCAACATGGTTTCCGACGCAGACGATCTTGTCTTACCAATTTGCTGATTACTCGGGACTTATGGACCAGGGCGGCTGATGAAGGAGTGCCCATAGATGTGATATACCTGGATTTTTCTAAGGCATTCGACAGGGTCAATCACTTCTTTCTCCTCCAAAAGCTTGCTGCCTACGGTACCAACGATTCCCTGCTCACCTGGTTGGAAGACTACTTACACGACAGAGCAATCAAGGTAAGGGTAACTGACACCTATTCTGAAAGCCTTTACGTCTCCAGTGGTGAACCACAAGGATCCGTCCTCGGCCCGCTACTATTCTTAGTCTATAATAATGACCTTCCAGCAGACATTCTATCTCCAATGCAAATATTTGCAGATGATGCTAAAATATGGAGAGCAATTCGCTCAGCATCCGACCGTGTCTACCTCCAGGAAGATCTGACCCGGATTAACGAATGGGCAGAAAATAACCAGCTCCCACTGAACCCTGCAAAGTGCCACCTGCTGACGGTGCACAACAGCTTCGTCAACACGTACCTTTTGGGGCAATACGTCATGCAACACGTGACTAGTGAACGCGACTTAGGTATAATCGTGCAAGAGAGTCTTGGAAATTCGCTCCAATGTTCGAAAGCAGCAAGTGTGGCGAACTTGAACTTGAGACTTTTGAGGCACTTTTGAGCGACGGCTAGTACCATTGTTGATTAACTCCTACATTCGTCCTCATGTTGAATATGCAATTCAGGCCAGGTGTCCATGGGTAAAACGAGACATCCGCCTCTTGGAATAGCCCCAAAGAAGAGCCCCAAAAGCAACGCGTGGACTATCCGGTATAAGTTACGAAATGTGTCTTCGTGTACTCGGTGTGTTCTCATTAGAATACCGACGGCTTCGCGGAGATCTTACTCTCACATTCCGGATATTAACCGAAAGCGAGCATCCACGTACATCACTGTTGACTCTAGCCCCATACAAACAAAACCGAGGCAACCACCTGAAACTAATGACGTAACACTCTCGTTTGAATTGTAGAAATTATTTTTTCTCACTTAGAATCGGTTCTCACTGGAATGCATTACCAAACTATGTGGTGAAAGCACCAGACATGACGACATTCGAATGACCCATAGATTTTCATCTAAGTGATGAACGATACACAACACTTTGTTAAAGTGCAATGATTTAACCACTGATACTTTACGTTCCCCGTTGGAGTATTTTGCGTTTACTTTTCTTTCGCATATCCATCCTGTGGGTCTTGTAAAGTTATGCTTTTTATCCCATCATACACCATTGAACCATTGAATCCACAACGGGGATATCAAACAACAGCCAATCACTTGAGAGAGAGAGAGGCAAAAAATAACTAGATTTACGCATAAGGAAACGGTGACATAAACCTTACGTTAATGAGCATATGACATAAGTTGTTTACAAAAGAATCCTAGATAAGTTCACGGGGTCAGAAAATATACCCTACGGAAGTGACGCGAACACAAATGTGTTATGGAAATCGAATACAATTGGCTTAAGCGAGGTGTGCAAGTTAATGGAATAGATACAGGTAGACATTTATATGTGAAAGAAAATCATAAAGACAAAATTGAAAACGCACTAGCTGAAATAAAGAGACTTAGCATGCAAGCACGCGGTTAGTAAATCGAATGCAGCGTACCTACAAACGCTGCGCCGGTTCTGAATACTTCTCTGCAGAACCCGTCGTCGCTTCTGTAGTGGTCCCGAGTGACTTCGCTCATGGCTCGCTGGACATTTATATGAGAACATATATGTAAACAAATAAACAGATCAATGCACGAGAAGCAGGACAGAGTTTTCACTCCTATCACCAGGGCATGCTAATACTAACCGATATTTGTTTCTGCACACAAAGCAGCGGCTTAATCCGGTTAATTGCAATCGCCTCTGCAAAATGGAGGAGACATGAATTGGTGTACCGTACTAGGACCGAAGTGACCTCGACTCGGTGACCTGTAGTCAATAAGTGTCGGCTGATCGAAGAGATTGGTGGCTTACGCAGATCAGGAGCTTGACTCTGGCCAGTTTCCTGCGCGGTCGAACATTGCATGCACTTAGGTGCATGCACTTTCATTCGGGAACTCAATATTCTCTCGGTCCTGCATAGGTAACTGGAGCCTCAGTCACAAATGGATTAGTAAACGTATTGGAATTTTGCCCCTATAAGCTGAGTCTTCTTTACAGAAGCAAGTGGCAGTTTCGGGTTTTCTTAGTGACAACGACCTTGGCGGCTTAGTAAGTTGTCTGCACGGCGCAGATCCGACGCGTTGTGATCCCTAAGTAGGAGACTTTACTTTTGAACGGTAGTTCAAATTACTAGATGTGATATAGCGCCGTTCACTATCCACTGATTTGTACGTTACTACCGTGTAGAGGACACGGTAACCCTTCACCAAGCGCCAAACATAAAAAAAGTAAGCCGCCAATTAACCTATAGCATTATAAGCAGTTTGGTCTGCGTACTGATTAACGAGGAGTAGTAGGGGGAGTTGAATGGTATAGGTAGAAATTCGTCTCAACAGCGGACTGGCAACAACCGAGTTGCGGGTTCGAGCTCTACCAGGGTCCGATGGAATGCGCACTGTTGACGATTCCTGGAAGAATGTAACGCGCGTTCAGTAATTTTCGGGCCTTAGGTGGCTGTTTTAGTGAGTCAAGATATTATGCATTTCTACCTATACCAATCAATTCTACTTACTACTCCTCTGGAACATCAACGCTTCCGTTTATGTAAAATATACACAGCCTTTTGAAACGCCTACATACTCTGTTAGGGTTTTAACCACAGCTAATCTGTCAGGCACAATGATGCCATTAATATTTTTAACATTTTCTTAGGTTACCTACGATGAGACGGTCCACAGCGGTCTCCATCTTCACACAACTCCTTATTTTATATAAACGTCTTACAACGCTTGGTAGATTTCAAACTGTTATGAGCTCCCCGACGTTAATATAGGTGGTCTTACGAGTTAGAATGCAACTTGGCAACGCGCTGTAAAATATTATTAACTTCCTTGCCTCTAGGTTTCGTTTACTATAATTAGTCAATTACACAACAGATTTGGCGTTTGGTTCATAGTTGTTGTAGTTAGCCTCCACATTTGGTAGTGCAATTTTGTTGTCACAAGTTAGAACCAACTTTTGGCATTGTTCATTGGCCAATTGCTGCCTCTAGATAATTAGCTTTAGGCGAATACCTTATCTCGCTGAAGTAAGTTAGGTAAATGACACACTTTGTGTATTTGTCAAGTTCAGTCTGTCACTCCTACTGGTATGAAACAAACGGTAATCCCGTTATTGTCGTGTGCACATTTGGTACTTAAGATTAAGAAAATTTTACTAATGATATCCATAATGAAGAGATGTCAAGCAACTACGACACAAATTTTGCTATTGCTCCAACGCTTTTCCGTCCGACGGCTTTTGCTAAGCACTGAGTTGGGAGCTGTACGTAGTACAGTGTACTCCATTCAGGCTACTTTTGTGTGCACATACTTCGTGTGAAGGTCACAAGGACGGATAAAACCGAACACCATCTTTATCTATGATGATGATGACTAATTGATGAGTTGGGTGAACATCCATCATCACAAACATATCTCGCTTATAAGCAACAGTGAATCCAAACTGGTTCCGCTGGCAGGTAGCAATCTCTCCGATTGATAGCTTTTGCGCACGCCCATACGCAGTAGATAGCCTCTTGAAGCGCCATGATGCTTAATGTAGTAAACAAGGTAAATCGCTATAATTTGATCTGCAATGCAACATCTTGCTCATGTAAAATATGTGTTTATCGCGCCTGTACACAGTTTTGCTTATCGGAAGCTTAATCAAAAGCCAGCCCGCACAGTAGTGGGTTTGTACAAACCATGAAATCATTAGCCGGTAGAAATCGCGTTATACGCTTTAATGGTTGAAGTCTCTAGTACCCTGAACACCGGTGTCTGTTAAAGTGTCGCTCTTCAAATCAGCGTTGACCTTGATCTAAGCTGCTTGGTGAATTCGAAATAATGCCGGCTAAAATGGCGAACGTTCCCTCGCCCAGTAGCACACTTTATCACGTAAACCATCACTTATTCTCAGAGTTGACAATGCATACATCTTATTTATATCCTATACATTTTTACCAATGTAGGCGTGATTCGATTATGTATAAAGCTGACTAAACTACTCACACCGGTCTCCTTGATTGTATTCACTGTAGATTTGCTAAACATGAGACGTGTTGGCTCTTAAAATATCGTCGTCATTCAAATTTAACGTTTCATTGGTCTGATCTCTCCTAAACCTAGCAAAGCTATATCCTTTGTACTCCACGGAATCAGATGCACAGAAAGGCAACCACATAGGCTGCGTGTGTCGACAGGGCTATCGCAACTATTAGAAGAAGACAAAAGCATATAGATAATTGAGTATTTTGCCAAATCAACTCAGAGACTAATAAAAAATTGAGAATACATAAAGAATCAAGGCATCTGTTGGTGTTTTGAGGTCAGGTCTCTGCTGTATATGCTGTACAAGTTGTGACCAACAATTTTGTGGTCCTAGCGAAATAGTGTTGATTTTGTTTTGTGAAAAAGTATGTATCACTAAAGTGTGGATGAAAAATTATTGAATGAATGCCTGAAGTTGTGAGCCGAAAAACGTTGTAGTCAGCTGTTTATGTCCATATCAATAATCCGCTTGAAAAATAAATGCATTATGTATCAAGCAGGTCCATCACAGAGGTACATGAAAGAATTTCACACATTCTGTGAGAAAGAGGTTGACCTTACGCCACAGACAAGATAGTTCATACTTTTCTCTGTTTTGCACGGATGTTACTGATATATAAAAGCAAACATGCCTGCGAATAATTCCGCGGAGACTCTGAAAGTTAGAAGGAACAAAATTGCATTATTTAAGACTGACAACATACATAACGAATAGTAATTACGTATGCTTTTAATGTCAAAATAGTTGGCACCAAATTCAATATCTTGAAATAGTGCGTAATGTCGAGTGCATTCACTTGGCAATTCCGTGCAAAGTGCCTGTTGGTGAACATGCTTCATGCGGTCGAATTCAATAAGGAGCACACTTTAAACGGTGAACCCTTGTGTCATGGATGTGCATTGTAGTTTTACTCTTTTTATCGCGTTCTATTTTAAGTTTTGACTGTTGTGCTTCCTTTATCTGTGATAGGCCAAAACTTGGCACTTTCGATGACTTCATGAGATGAACTGAGCTACAATCATTCCACGGTGATTTCGAGTTGAAAGTGTTGGCGATGCTGAAAAGCTGTCCACTCAAACTCCCCTCTTCCGTTCCAATCTGGTAATAATTCTGACGGTTGTGGATCATTAGGGCAGTTGCCGCTGAGGCCATCTGAACACGAAACGCCCACGATTGTTGATGAGCTAGCATACTGCCCGATTTCCGATGTGAGACAGACCATTGTGAGAGAAGGTTTTGGGAGACGTTCACATGCCAAGTGGTGAGCGATTGCACATGCGAAAGGAAGAGTAAGACATGCAAATTGCACCATGCAGTTTGTAGCATAGCTTGAGTAAAAACAAAGAAATTATAAATTGGCTTAGAGAATATAAATGTCGATGAGTCCTCATTGTACATCCTTAAGCCACCTCCCTTTAAGCGTGACATAATTCCGTCTGGCCGTTTCCTCTATGCCTTTACATATTTGCAGTTCTATGAATAAGTACAACTTATCAGTTGCAGTCTCTTTTGGCCGTTGGGAGAAATACGTTTATTTTGACCTATCCCTGCGCAGTAACCAAACTTTAAGCCGGCGCGCGATCCTACTTATGGTTCACAGTGCCAATGCACACCAATAATAGCCGACGAAAAAACAGAAATATATGAACCTATGAAAACATCTATCAAACGAAGAAACGTAAGCATTAAGTTTGGAGCAAATAGTTGTTTTCCATTTATATATCATAAGGTTAGCTTAGAAATATCTGTTATGAAACGTGTGGTTCATTAGAAGGTGCATACCTCGGCTAGTGATTGGACAAAGTTAAACGACTATGCTGTTACATGTCAAAGTAGCAAAGTGTTTAAAGGCACGTGGTGCCGCTGAGCAAGATCCGATCAGACTCGATTGTTTGCTGCATAGGGCATTTACGCTGAAGATCCACATCTACATGCATAAATTATGCATTTTCCATTTAATGCTTATCGTTTCAGCGTCAGAAAGCAGCAGGTCCCATAACTGGTTTAGTAAAAACAACTGTTGCTATATTTGTTTTCAAGGGTGACAATGCGGTTGAACTAGGTACAAGACAACTGATGCGGAGTTGCAGACATATTTCAATGTGGAGTAAGTTACGGTTGCTTTTACGAGCAAAGAGCTCAATGTTCCTAATTTTAAACACTAATTTTCCAGTTGAATCTAACCCATAGTTATCTACCTATTCGCCTGCTCCCGTCAAAATATTTACTGTGGAGGCATTACTAGTCACTTAAAACTTTAATGAAGGAACATTCACCGAATTCGTTCATTAATAATTTGGACAGAGGTAACTTCGTGTAATAAAAAAAGATCTGACTCGCACTAGCCATCGAATAGATAAATTTACGAGTTTCGAAATCATTAATTAAGTTCCGCCGCAACTACTTCACCACGGCTGCATACAACCGCTGAAGAGGCTCACCAACTCAATGCAACTAAGTTGGCCAGCTACTAACTGAAACGAAGCGGATCGTGCGCAACCCCACCGTGTGCATTCAAACACTTGATCGTCTGACGCGTATCACCAAACGCTTTAATTTTGTTCAATTCTTAGCCGAAGTATGCACGTTCTACTGAAGTACACATTTCAGAAACTATAGTTCCTTAAGTAGCCTGTTGATAAATGATTCGAAAACACTTGATCGCGTTCAGCTTCATAGTGGGGTTTGTTCCTTCTTTAAAATCTCATAGTTGGTTACAATCTGTTGCTGCCCATTGTATAAAGTTACGGTTTGTAGAAGTATGCTACCACGGGTCACCAAGCGCAATAAAGGAAAAATAGACAACACAGCGTAAACATTTTGTTTTGTGAAACGGTAATACGCCACTCTGTCGTAAGGAAACACATAATAAGAGTTCCGGCTTTTAACTTAATGCTTAATAAATATTGCTGAATCTATTATGAGTACTTTTCATCGTGATTGTGTCTTTGGCCTTAGAAGTCTAAATACTGGCTGGCACCCACTTAAAAGTTTATAAATTTACGAAAATGACTAAAACATTTGTCTGGTATTATGGGGTTTGTACTAATGCTACCAACAATCAAATCTGCGTGTGCTAGAATCAGAACAAAGCGGGCCACGTTTTGTAGGCGTGGTTCAATTTCCATGCCATTTATCCGTATATTGATATAGTCATGAACACATCTGAACCTTACCTGTTGTTTATAAGCAAATGTGCTAAGTCCACAGCTTGTGACGGACCGGAAAGTGTAATCTTCCTCTCTTTAGTACCATCTTCACAGTTAGAAATTTTGACTTGAGCCTTTGACAGATTTCTAATTTCGTTCACTGTTGTCCCTCCTCGACCAATGATGCAGCCAATCAGCTCATTTGAGATAGTTATTTCCTTTATTACAAACTCCTCCGATGGTGTATTTATGGTTCCGTCATTCAGTGTAGTTCCAAAAGTACTGTACCCGAACGGGGTCGTCGGAAGTGGAACGGCTGGTAGGCCTAACAACGATGCTTTGTTTTGTGCAAGGGGTGTAGCTTTTTCCACGAAATTGCCAGAGTTATGAAAGCATACGTTGGAATGCAGTGATGACATATGGTTGTTCGTTGAATAAATATCTGCTGGATCGTTCATGGGAGATTGCGAATCTTTCAAACCGATGCTGTTCACTACGCCGTTGTGAGAAACCAGTACAGTGTCTTCACTGAAACCAGTCGTAGACTTGGTTAACTTTGGTGTAACAAAGTAGTTGGTACCCGCGGCTGTCTTAGTGATGGTGTGTGGAGAATAGAATCCGAACAATCCTGAATTTAGTGTCGACAAATCAGGTATGCTAAACGAAGCACCTCCCAAATGGTTACTCAGGCCGTTTGCTATTAAATGTGATGGACTCATGGATGCGAATGTTGGCATGTGTGAATGTAAAAGGTCCAGGTAATTCATTGCTGGTTGCAACTGAACTGGATCTGAAATGGGGCGTAAAACACGCGGAAATAGGTTGCACAGGATCAGACTAGTCCTATACGTTAGTAATTTCTATTCTGCATACATTGTGTTCACGGAAGGCTGAAAAGCACCTACATGTGTGTTTATACGGGTTAAAAAACACCGCTTTACAAGCCTCGTTGGGTAGTCTGGTGGGCTATCAAGAAAATTCAGTGAAAAACTGCAATCAGTAGTTCTACTATCAAATGATTGGACGGATCGTACCTAATTCACTGGCCAAAGCTAGCAATAATTTGAAAAATGTGTAACCGAATATTTTCATATATTTAACGGATTCAAAGTTATTATGGAATGTTTATGTGTGACTTGTGAGAAGTGTAGTGCGTTTTTAAACGAAACGTTTCATTTATATCTTCCATTAAGGGATTTCCCTTAGGTTATAACACAATAAATTCTTCTCATGTAACCATGGATGGATGGACTAATTTCTAAGAAGTGTGATTCACCAAGAACCAAAAGGAAAGACAGCTAGGCTAATGCAAACCAGTCTCTAATATTCCAAATGATGTGTAATATATGTTGAAAAGTGAGTAAAAAGCTTAGGTTATTATTACAGAGCGTTAAATGACATGCGCTTAAATCAGTGGCATCTTGCTTGAGATTTCGCACTGTAGTATTTATCCAACCCGACAGACATAAAGTCTGTTTCGGCAAATAAATTTAAGACCTGCGTTTGACATGCTTTATCCACAGAATTAAAGGTAATCCGTATGGAAATCAGATTAAGGAGATCCTAATCGACAGTTTTACCGCTGGGAATTGCCTTTGGACTCCACTTCTGAAGCACCTCAACTGGCCGAACTCCATTTGGATCTGATTATACATCATTAGACCAAATAAATCGTGCATAAATGAATGTTTAAAAGACATTTCGTGACGGTTATGGTAAATAAACGCAGTTGTAGTTGTATCAATGGTTTTATCTCCTTACGGATGTTCATCCAGCGGGGTGTTTGATGAAGCAAAATGGTGGTTGTCATAATGATTTGTTATTGTTATGGTTTACCGTGCAGTTAAGATGTTCACTTCCAGTAAACTAATCCTAGTTGATAGGCACTGCGCTGACACCAATACAACCTCCTTGTATTTAGAAAAGCACAGCATTAACAGTACAAGATGTTTGGTCCATGGAACATACGAAACATTTAATTAGCACCAATGTCTGCTGCAGTCCCCTTGTAACAAAGCTTATACAATATATTCATATATTCATATGCTTCCTTTGAATTCAAATTCAATGTTTACTTAGGAATCGCTTCAGGGCACTAATGGTATTATAAACAAAAATTCCTTAAAAATAGATTGGCGTTCCTTTTTCAGCCAGACAACCCAGGCTGACCAATCGAAAAATCTCCTCGTGGTACCTGCTGGGTGGTTCTTGTTTACCCCATTCCATCAAACATTTTGGCGGCAGTTTCCAGGATGTGGTTAGTTTTCGCATGGCAAGCATTCTCCCTATAGCAATCCACAACTGGTTAACAACCCTACGACGTGGTGCTGGTGACTCGCCGCAATCCAGTGTCACTGCCACTTGTTCATCCAGGCAAGCACATCCAATCCACGCACCTCAATCATCTCATCTCACCTTGGCGACGCAAGCAAAGAAAGACAAAAATGCAGTGGCTCATATCCAAACCCAAGCAACACAGCCACGCACGTACACTTACGTGACTATATGTACTCACAAACATACATTAACTACAGTAGCTAACATGTAATTTTGTAAATTTTCCATAAGGTGCTGCGGATAGCGACGCCAGTCGGTTATTTTGGCTGTGTTGGCAAGATCACTTTGTGTTGCATTTCTTCGCTCATTGGAATCGTTTTGTGAAAATTTAGAAATCATTCAGTTTTATTTCTGATTATACATCTTTTGCTCGTAAATACTTTCATGTTCACGACTTGGTTTCAGCGATCTCCATCATCATTTTCTCCAGCAATTGGTCGCCATTTTGTTTCGAACTAATTACCACGCCGAAGCAATCACCCTATGATACCGGTTCTAAGATATTCGGATATTGCACAAACGCCCTCACTTATGTTTTGTGCCAAGTCAAGTACCAGATTTCATGTGTTGGATTGCCAGTTGAGCATATTCCTCGTCTTCGTGAAATGCAACACGATTTCGTTCAAACTTTATGTAAAAATTGCCGACACAAGACAGCCAGGAAGAGCAAAGCCGACGTGTAAGCTTAATCATTCCTTTGCGAATAGCTCCGTGTGTGTTGCCCAGCAAACTAACCCGAAGAACCTTCAGGGTGCCATTGTCTTCTTTTTCCGCCCAGGCAAACTCACTGACACGATGTCCAACCGTTGTGAGAAGCCCAGCTTTTATCTGGCATAAATTGTTGACTTTGTTGTGTCCAACGAGCACTGATGTCCCGGCAGACAAAAGCCTAAATGTTAAATACTGCTGGGAAAAAATAACCGTATCATGAAATGATGTTGGGCGTTTAATTTTCTAATTCTAATTCTAATTCTAACCAAACCACATGAGGCTCGTAATATACTTCTTCCTGCAAGATCCATCTTTTCCTACCAGAGGCGTTATAACCCCGTGCTATTTCACGCGCCGGATTGCAGTGATCCATCACCCAAGGGGGCTATGATTTCGATATCGAGATTTACGGTTTAATCAACAGACTCCTCGACTCTGGTGGTTATTCGGTAAAAGTAAGGCAAACTAATCGTCTTGTAAAGCAAGGTGATCAACAAAATCGGCCCATGAGAAATGCTTTTGTAGACGAAGCCAGTCCAAGACTGATCTTGGTCCGCCTAAGTAGGCTGAAAGTTTTGTAGGTCAATGTTCGTCCAGACCTAGACCCAGTAGATGGAGAACGGCTCAAGCCTGTCATCAATGAGCTACAAAGCCGTGATGGTGAGGGGAAGCATATCTTAGTATCGTGAATTTTCTGGTCAGTTCCAAGAATATACGAATCAGGATAGTTAGGTTGCTCACACTTCAAGCACTTCCGGCGGTTCCAGCTGTGACCTGCATTAGCCTTCACCAACTTTAGCAAGCAGCTTTGTCGTTCCGTTGCATCTTAACAGCCAGACGTAGTTTTACTAGCAGACATGGTGGCATTCAGATTTAGATACCCAGGAATTTGAACATATCGGTTACTCGTGCTTCTGCTACGATAGACTAACGGTGGCGTCTTGCTCTATTTTCGGTCTTCCTTAGGTGGGAAACTAATGAGCATCTACCGGACTGACGATGGTTTGTGCGAGGTGATGTGGTGCTCCATCCACCTGAGGCGCGGAGAACTGTTTATGGGTGCAGTCTATCACAGCCTCCTGAGTTGTTGTTTGCATTGGCTACCTCACCTTAGAACACACATGAGTCGTCCACCTTTTGTACTTATGAACGATTTTAAATGTCCTCGAATGCGATAGCTCGATGTGCATCTGACACCTGGACACAGTGAGGTTGAAGCAAAGTTCGTGGATTTGGTACTTGAAACCAGTGCATCGCAAGACATATGCCAGCCAACACGCATAACGGCACGCTCAACCACGTCCTGCCTCCAACTGATGTTAACGAGCTACGTACGACGAGTGTGCGACGTTCCGACCCTAGAGCCCACGGCTACAAGCGACCACTCAGTGTTCACAGCTGATATAGTATTCTCTTTGCCATATTCAGGTCCGCTAGAGCGAGCTTACAACTACTGGAAAACGGACTTCCACGGTCTAGCCCAAGCCACGAGCCAGCTAGATTGATCTCCATCACGCGCTTCATCCGTGGATCACTGTTGGACATTTATAAAGGAGAGACTGACATCATGTGTTCCAAATTTTTGCGCTTGAAGTGTATGAAGGCTGGATTGATTGAGCCTCACTGATTTGATAAGGAGTATGGAAATCTGGCTCTGAGGCAGTGCAAACTGTGGGACGGATTCCTCCTCTGGCTATGCCAATGACTATGAAAGGTATAACGTCAGCGGAACCTCTGCAACAATGCAAAAGAACCAAGCAAGGATATTTCGAAAAGCAGCTCGCACTAACCGCGAAGACCGATCCAAAGAGATCTCTGATTAGGTGAAACGAAGTCTTCAACCAGCAGGTGAAGTGTCAGCGGTGGATGGCCCGGAACCGCTGAGCTTACGTCCGCGTTGTCGGCGCACTTTGCTTCTGAAGCTGCAAATAACCAGATGTCCTTTCCGAGTTCAACATGCACCGCTTTTACCGAACTCGACAATCTGGATTGCGGAGTTGAGGAAGTGTGTAAAGTACTAGCCAGACTTGACGATACCAAACCTACCGAACCTAACCGGCTTTACTCACTGATTCTCAAGCGCTTTCAACCATCCTCTCCCTTGTCGTGACAGACTTTTTTAACAGATCACTTTCTGAAGGTTCGTCGCCGATTTACCGAAATTGTTTGGTGGTGAAGCCTATTCAGAATGGCGGCGACCTTAGCATAGCAGCCAAATACAAGCCATTTTGTCTGACACCTATTTTGGCAACGGTTGCGGAGAAAATGGTAAAAAAATAGATGATTAAAGTTGCTGCAGTAAAAAGATGTCCTGTAGCCGGCACAGCAGAGTTTTATGCAAGGCCGCTTATGCATTATCAACTTGCTTGTGACGAGGCATGGCTGGTTGCAAGCAACAAGCGAAGGTAAGTCTGTCGACATTATATACATTGATTATATTAGAGCGTTTGACAAGCATTTGACAGGAAGTACTCCTTCACAAACTTAGAATGTGCGGCTTCAGTAACTTACTGCACCAGTGGATCCGCGATATTCTTGTTGGACGAAAGAACAGGGTAAGGGTCGGCAACCGTCTAACTAAAAGGTACCTTAGTACAAGTGGCGTGCCTCAAGGCACTGTGCTGGAACCCACTCTGTTCCTGACCCACACCAACAATCTACCTCTGCTTCTCCAGTAACCGTACGCCTTGTTTGCGCATGAATTGAATATTTGGAGAGACAATGATGCTACCGGCGATGTGG